TCTGGCTTGAGAGGTGAAGCGGCCAGAATGGTAAAAATGTGATGAATTAGAAAATCCAGTCGAGTGTCGTGCCGGTCGCACATTTTTCAATCGATGGCAACTAAGGTTAATGGCGACATGTAAATCACCTATCGACTGGATCTCCACATGATCCTTTACTTTCCCGCATTCGAGCTGCATATTTGTTCGGCCACTTGGCGCGCTGTGCTTTTTCAACGTGAGGCAACGGATTTTTCTCAAAACTTTCCGGACATTCTATTGAAATAAAAGATACGTGACGTGAGACGCTTCACGTTTCACACCAGATAAAAAGTAAAAGCGATTAAATTACTTCATGTAAGAGATCGTTATTCGAAAAATATCATCTAAGATTAAGAGAAGGAAGAAACAAATGAAAACAAACAAAAACAGAGAAAGAAAACAAAACACCTCAACCATCCTATCTGATCGAGTCTTCCGTTACATACGGGCCGTGGACACTTCTAGCCCTTTCGCCTTGGTCGGACACGTGCCTGTGCTCAGGTGCGATGACAAGTCACGTCCCGTTAGACGGGACAAGAGATACCTCTGAAAGGTCCTCTTCCAAGTTGGTAACGATGTTGAATTCGTCTGACGCCTGAACCGTACGCATGAAAACTGACTGTGCGGTAGCTGCGAAGTTGTCCTGAGAGCGGCGGTTTGTCGATTACTGTAACGTGCGCGGTAGGATCCCAGTGCGGACTCTGGCGATGTCCCTTCGAACAGCCGGTCGTTTTGTTGCGTCCATCATCGGTCGTTGCAGCCGTACGGCGGGCGGAATACAGATGAAGTTGCATTCCAAAAAGTGTTTTACTCATCTGTGGGCTTGCAGACCGTGCTGCCTTTTCGAAGGAAATCGTCAGAACATCTGCTGACGCGCGACGTGCCTACAGGGAAGACCCCAGAACGATCCGCCCATTGTCTCATCAAGTGCTTTTGATCTCACCCCCCCCGCACATCCAGGTTGAAGAATTAGCGCTGCGTTTATACTTTCGGCGGCAGCGATAGCTGGCGCTCCAGCGGTAGCCAGGCGGCAGTGCCGAGGAGAGGATGGCATTCGAAAATCTAAGCTTCACCAGCGTCACGCAGGGCGGCACGCTTGGCGTACCCGGTAGCTTTCTCCAGCGTTTCTCCAGCGTTTCACCAGCGTTTTGCTAGCGTTTGCAGCGGCAGGGGAGTAGAGACTATGGGAGAGCTGGAGGGTACAAAACACATCGATTGCGCGTCTCTCACTCGCCCTCAGTCTCTACAATACACATCGATTCCGCGTCTCTGACGGCCACATAGTCTCTACAATACACATCGATTCCGCGTCTCTCTGACGGCCACATAGTCTCTACTGGAGTACACAAACAATGCGATTCCGCGTCTCTGACGGCCATAGTCTCTACCATACACATCGATTCTGCGTCTCTGACGGCCACATAGTCTCTACTATACTCATCGACTCCGCGTCTCTGACGGCCACATAGTCTCTACAATACACAACGATTGCGCGTCTCTTACGGCCACATAGTCTCTACTCCCTGCCGCTGCAAACGCTAGCAAAACGCTGGTGAAACGCTGCAAGAAACGCAAGCTTCACAGCGTCACCAAGCGGCACGCCCAGCGTACGCGCAGCCGTGCTTGCGCTGTGACGCCTGGTGAAGCCTAGATCGAATATGCATCCTCTCCTCGACACTGCGCTGGCGTACGCTGGAAGCGCTACGCTACGCTACGCTATGCTGCCGCAAAGTATAAACGCAGCCTTATCCATACAATCACCAGCATCTTCGCTGTTGCTGAACGAAGTGCGGTTTTCAGACGAAGGATGCAATTGCTCTACAAGCCAATAAAGAGCAATTTATCAAAATTGATTATACTATAACTGATAAGGAACGAAGTAATTTTAACATGAAGGAGTTCATCAAGAAGCATTTCATAGCCGGTGCTGCTCGGCAGAATTACGAGGTAAATGCTCGAATATGTCTTGCTCTAGTTCTTTCTCCAGCATCAGCGAGGTCCACCCAGTCTGTCGGCCAATAGTACAGCTCGGCTACGGATGAAATCGTTTTCAGGTGTATGAAATCCATTTGATTCTCGAAAAAGCACTGACTGAAATGAGGAACTCACCGATACTGCTCGAAGTACGGTGTCCCGTGAACATTTGCGGTGATATACATGGACAGTATGGTGATTTGATGCGGATTTTCAACGTAAGCCTTCCATACCTTTGGGGCTTCTATCCCGATTTTGACACTTGAAGTATTCTAGAGGAGCCTCGCTACTGGTCAATTTTCGCAGCAAAGTGAAGTGCAGTAGCTGCATTTCTTGCTTTTACCATATTTAGGCATGTGGGCTACCCTTCAAACAACGTTATTTGTTCCTTGGGGATTATGTGGATCGAGGACGGCATTCTCTTGAAGTAATTATGCTTCTGTTAGCACTTCGGATCCAGTTTCCTCGGAAAGTCTTCTTATTGCGAGGCAATCATGAATTGTCCAACATTAATCGGTGAGTTATTCCAAACAGAGAAATTAGATGCTTTGTCAAAGGGTCGAAGTCTTGAGGTCTCTCTTAAGAATCGGCGACTGGTATACAGAGGCAGTATTTGCGTTGAGAAATGGGTCAGCGATTCCAGCGTCAAAAAAAGCGCACTCTCCTGCACGCTGAGTTGTGTGACCCAATACTCCTCCACCGAGAACATTGAAAGAGGTTGCGTCATCTTCCAGCCAGCGAGTCCACTGCTTTCATTCACCGTTCAGACTTGGCGATGACGCGCGTCATCGCGTTGTATTGCGCTGTAACCCGCTACCACTGCAAGGGCGCTCCAGTGCTATAGACGCAAAAAAACCAGCGCAACGAGAGCCGGATGACGTCGGCGCTAGTTTGGAAAGTGATGGTATAGGATGACAGAAGCTAGTACTGCTCCCTTATTCTCCTTGAACATCCACAGTTGCTTCCCGACCGACCCCAGACTGTGAAGGAGCGCCTCACTCTGCTTTATCTATGATCTCTGAACACAACGGCCAACTAATCCGCTTATAGGGGGAGCGCCTCTTGCATGGAAGCTAACCGACGCGCGTCACAGCGCGTTCCAGCGCGTTGACGCGCTTCATGGCGAAGTTGATCGCTGCTTTGAATCCTCGAAACTGACATGTCGACCAACGTTCATATTATTATTACAGTAATAGAGATGCAGTCACTAGGGCAGGGCTCCTGGGACCATGAAGCAGTTCGAACTTGGAACATTACTTAGAGAGTCAGAACAGTAAACGGGGATGTTAGTGCCGCATTTTGCCCATTTTCTGCCAGTCCAACAAATATTTTCTAATGATCTTTTTGAATGTTCAAAAAGCGGAAATTGGCAGCGCTCCACCAACTCAATATGAGCCAGTAACCAAGTTTACAGGGTGTACGGCTTCAATGCGGAAATTCGACAGCGGTACCGTAATCTCACCGAGTCCAAGGCTCTTTACGATCACTTCAATGAGGTGTTTGCTCAGATGCCATTGGCTGCACTGGTAGCTAGTCGTATTCTTTGTATGCATGGCGGTATAACGAATCCTGAAATACATCACCACGCTGCCGTTGACGAAGCATATTTTATATGAATACCAGGTTTATCACCGAATCTGAATAGCCTTGATGATATCCGAAAACTACAACGACCACTGAGAGTCGTGCGTGGTTTGGCACAAGATCTACTGTGGGCTGATCCTGAAACGGGTACGAAGGGATTCCAGGTAATTACACTCCGGTTCACTGCGGATGAAGGGGCATGTCGGACGTGATGGGTTTGCTCGGCGTCAAACTCGTTTTGCACCAGTTGTTAAAGCGACCGAGCGACGGATTGTTTACCCCTTCGACAACTGATGGAAAACGGGATTGACGCCGCGCCGAACTCGTCCCCCTGACATGCCCTTTCATGCGTAGCGAACAGGTCTGTGTCTCTAACACATGTCGATTTTGTTTGAACAAAAGGGTCCCAATTTCAGCAAAACAAAATCCGAGCTGTGTCCCATATCTTTGGGGAAGATATGGTGCGGGATAAGTGTAAGCAGCTGAACATCGATCTAATCATCAGAGCTCACCAGGTACTTGCGTAGCACTTCGCTAAATTGGAGTACAGGCACATGGACGGGGACAGGACCCCTTTGGGCTTCTCTCAATAGTGCACCTCAACTTCTGAAGGGGTGGCGCTTCAGTGAAGCGGTTCAGTCTTTGCTCATGTGGAATACGACTTTCGTCTTTCTTGAGCATAAACGGCGCCTTATGAATGCTTCCCAAAATCGATACATATGTTTTGCGCAGAGAAGCAGAAATATAGTGTGACTAGGAAACTTTAGGTGGTAGAATTCGGCTATGCATTCTTTTGCGGTCGCGCCCTGATTACTGTGTTCTCGGCGGCTCGATATCATGAAGAACTTGTCAACTATGCAGCGGTAGTTAAGGTTCGTTTCTACGGCTCACTGAGTAAATCTTTTAGTTTTTTTTTGTTCATTCTCGGAGTCTCTTAACCAGTTGGCCGGCAGGTCACGGCAAGACCAAAGCTGAAGTACATAGCTTTGGTGCTAAATCCCAGAACAGCATATACAGTGCATATTTCGGCGCAGGCGTTTCTACGGATTCAGCTGTAAGCGCGGCAGCGGCTGTGAATTTGCGGAATGATGTTCCAGGGCAAGTGATACGACAACGCTTGTGATGCAGAAAACGCAAATGACAGAAGAAATGCACAATTGCCGGAGGCGTGGTCGTTGCCAACGTCATTGGTGGAAGTAGTGCGAGAGGTGGTGTGGCTACACCCCACCCAGCCCTTCCATCAATGATGTTGACGGCACCGCCCGCCTCTAGCAAGTTGTGGCTCTTTGCCTCTAAACAAACACGTATTGCACACGTCGCCGATCCCGCAGCTAAGCCCGTGGACACCACCGCTTCAACGCCGACATATGGAGTGTACTTGGCGCGCCCAGCTAGACTGCAAGCTGCATGTCTTTGACACGTAACGTGAAACGAAGGCTGTCGTGAGAGTGCATGCGCTTGTTAGGGAAGAAGATAGAGAGGCAGGAAGCGCTGCTGCTGGCAATCTGCAGAGCGGAACCATCTGGTATCATTGTTCCCTAACTACCCACCTCATTCTTTGTGCAAGGGATATGTCTGGGAGGGACAATACGTCGATGGAAATAGAAGCCGAGCATCTCATCAAAATTCCAAACCATCTTGCCGCCATGTACGCAATCCCTATGCTTGGCGCGACCTCAAATAGTGATCGACGGCGACCCTCTTCTGATTTAGGTCATGACTTTACACATGCACTGTGTCCAATTCCAGCATACTCAAGAGCTACTTGCAGGTGGATGCCAGTTTAGAACTATCGTTTGTGCAGTTGAAACCGCAAGAATTCGAAAAAGTACGACGCGAGTTGGAGCAAAAACACGACGAGACCGGTGATCCTGGAGAAGAACCACAACCGCAGCCATCACCGGGTGGTGCCGCCAGTTCAGCACCGCAGGCGACGCAGGAAACTACAAAAAACACCCAATCATAGATGGACGCGTCAATTCAGTTTTTTTTTCAAACTAATCAGAAATCAAGCATTGTCTGCTATCACAAACTGCTAATAACTGGAAGTTTGTATTGAGGGATTTATCGGAGTTTATTAAAGATTTCAATGTTATTAGATGTACAATGTTCATTGGATGTGCAAGTCAGTGTTCTTGTCCTCCCAGACGAAACTGTACCAACTCACCGTCCCCGAAGGGCTTGGTTGGCGTGGGCGGGAGTCGATCCGGGATTTGAACCGTGCATCACGACATGGTACTCGTGCCACTTACCACCTTCGCCTTACTTTATCAAATATGTACGCTCAATTATGTAATAAAGTCAGGTGATACACTGGTCCTTACCATATGGAAGTTGGGATCACCTGTCGCGTAGCACGTTGACGAGGAAGCCTAAATTGTATTAATAGAGGGTAAGGATAAAGTCTTCGCCGTTGATCAATCCCTTTGTGGGATGCGGCACGCATTCTACTTCCATTCAGAATCGTAGTGGCTTATTGAATGCGATGTGGCCTATACAATGACTTGCGGTGGCCAGCCGATGTACAAGTCAGTGTTTATCCTCCCAGACGAATCTGGTACCAATTTACCGTCCCCGGAGGGTAGAAGGCTTGGTTGGCCTGGGCGGGAGTCGACCTGGGATTCGAACCCGGGACCGCGCGAGTGGTAAGCGCGCCACTTGTCGCTATACTGCCTTCGCCTCAAATTGTATTATTGCCAATAAATTCTCAAGATACGCCACTAACATAAATTTGTTGGCTGCGAATGAAAGGGCGGGGTCAGGCGAGATGGGTTGGCGCGACGAAAAACGACTGACACCCACGATATGATACGATATATGATCCTGTCGCTTGCTCGTTTCTTCAGCTGGTGGAACTTGGGTTCGGCAGTTCGTCCCATCTGACACGCTCCTTCATTCGCAGCGAACAAGGCTCTGTGACTTCGGTCAAGCGCCATAAATTCTCAACTGCTTTGTCTGGACCACATACCCATATTCAGGGCACGTCATACATTTTGGTATCTTCAGGAAAGGTAGCTTTCTACCAAGTAGAAGAGAAGGTTCATATATATCCCGGGAAATGAAACGATTCTGATTGTTGAAGTTCTCGTTTTACGCCACTGTTCTCTCCTCCTAGTCCTCTGCTTGGTAGCATTATTTGGGAAATTTGATTCTAGTCTGGTTTTGATTGGGTGGCTATGGAATGGGGTCGTACTCAGTGAAAAAACTTGAAGGGGTCGTATTTGACATGATTCTCTCCAATGCCAGGATGTGCCTTGCTACATCGTCACCCTCGAAACGACGGTATCTCGGACGGTTGTGTAGGAGCAGGGATCATAGCTATGATGGGTCCAGCGCCCACATGTCCTAGAAAGCTCGTGAACCCTTCCTGAAGGAAATTATTGGTGGAAAATGCTGCACCGTCATAATCCCCACAAACGACAGGGCGTGGATGGGAGCGCTGCCAAGGCCGCCTTATATAAATTGCCATCCATGAGTCCCCAACAAGTGAGAGGAAGGCGGTTTTGGCTGCGGTCCAACGCATGCTTCCTAACACGCCCTATCGTTTGCAGGGATAATGTCAATCAAGATTCGACAGATTTGCGTTCAGCATTACAAATGAGCGGTTCGCCCTGCCGACCTTCGTTTGTAACTCCGACGCTGTACTGACAGCCGTGAATAGAAGAAAGAAACTTCATGATGACGCGAATGGACAACAATGAGTTTCCAAAATTTTTATCCCAGAAAGCTCGACGCACTCAGATGGACACCCGCTAATATTCTGGATCCATACTGTGGCGGATTTTAATTATCCCACATATTAAACAATTTAATCATGAAGTTGAGATAGTTTTTTCCGAATGCAGCTTATAGGTAACTCATCAACAATTCGATCCCTTCAGTGTACCTATTAGGCCATCCAATTGTATTACACCGAGATCTAACACCTGAAACACGTACCATATCGTACTGTTTTACATGTTGCAATGGTTTTGCTTGACGACAAACTGAACACGCACCTCCTGCTCCTTGCCATGCGCGAGGTGAACAGGTTAGCAGCTGAAACAGCGTACCCCCACACTCCACTCAGAGATGAGCTGGGGGACCGACACCCGAGTGCTGCCTCGGCCGGCGCTATCAGTAAGGTGTAGCACTTCTATTCTACTATTCCAAAACCGTGCAGCGAGCACGCAGTCAGAGACCGAGAAGAACTAAAAGTGAGAAGGCGCATACAAGTACGATGGTCGTGGGGTATGCGACGGTAGGATGGTTGGACCACGCGGCGTCGCACGCGACAATTGCAAATACCGTATGGCCACGATCGAGCCGGCCGCGATAGTTTATCACATTATCGGACAAGATCAATATACGTCATATGAGGTCCAGAATTATGAGAGTCACATGCTTGGGAGTCAGTAGGTAAGCTAAAATAGCAGAATCTGTGCAGATTTCTCTGCCCCATAGTTGCTTTGTAATCACTCTAGTTGTACAGTTAAGCAAAATCTGACGGCCATGACAGTCCAGGTCCTACCAGAGTGAAGAGCGCGGCTGAAAACTTCAGCCAACACGATTTAATTCAATAACGCAGTGAGTCTGTCGCGAGTGCGCTCCAAGCAAGCACGCGACGTCGCGTGTTCCTGAAGACCGCCTCCGCTGGTCGTGGGTCAGTCACTTGGGTACCACTAACGTTCAGCCCCATTCCCGTGCACTTCTGAGCGGCGGTAGTAACACGAACTCGAAGCTGCGGACCCATTCATCCCGCACATGTAAAGAACTGCCTTCTTGAACAGAGTGTTCAGTATCTTTTCAGAGACAAAGTCCGCGATCCATGTAGGAGTATTTTTGTGGACGAGGTGGCATAGTTCGCGTTCATACTCGGCGATTCAAGCGATTCTGTCGCCCGACTCCTAGTGGTCGCGCTCTACCGCTGATATTTAAGCA